TACAATGTTGTATTCATTGTAACTTGTGGATGTCTATTGAAATGTCAAGGTTCAATTCCTAAAAGCTCATCTCTTTTTCTTAAGGCCTTAAGAAAAGCTATTTATGTGAGAAAGGGCATGTTCAAGGCTTCGAATTATGGACGTTTTGTTTGAGGCCTGTGCGAGCTAACCACCAACAATCTCTTAGTTTTGAAGTAAATTTTATCCATAGTATAAATTATATTACTGTAAATGATTGATTCTGTTTAAGAAACAGACAATCTTGGGCTATTCCCAATTCAGATCGGTGATTGTTGATCTAAATTGCCACTGATTTGAAGCAAGTATTTTAATTGGCTTTCCTGTTTAATATGAAGGGTGAACTATATGTGAAGGACATAAATTTGACTGCAACATCTTTTCCTTTTCACCAACATGTAAAGTTGTAAACTCATATTTCTCAAAAGAACCATTAAGAGAATGCAAAAGTAAACAGATTCAATTTATGAAGAAGAACTAGTCCCATACATCATAATGGAACAAATGTAATATTCTTCTTGTGTTTATTCATGTTAGGTTATTTTATTTTTTAACAAAATTGTCAATATCATCATGATCATTTGAGTCTTATACTAACTATTTGGGGTCGGCTGTACGAATCCTATTTCGCCATTTTGTTTTGTCAAGGGTCATGCCCTCAGTCAGACCATAAGCCATTATATCTTTTCTCACTATTTTCATCCATGTCTTTTTGGGCTTCTTCCCCTTGGCCTTTTAGATCCTTCCATTTGTGCCAAACCGCGCGTCTTAACCGTTGTTGTATTAGGTCTATGCTCATATGATCAGCTCACCTAAGTCTGATTCTCTCATCTTATCGCCTATTGGAGCTGCCCCTAAGTTCCCTCGTATATATTTCATTTCGAATTATATCCTTTCTTGTCTTGCCATTCATCCATCTCGATATCTTCATTCCAGCTAAACTCATCCTATGGATATGTTGTTTCTTGACCTCTAAAGCATGGCTAGTCTTACAACCGTCCTATAAAACTTCTCGCTTCAGTTTGTGGCAATCACACAAAACTCCGGATAAACATCTTCATTCTGCCCACCTAGCTGTAATTCTATGCGCGACATCGTTTTCAATCTCTCCACTCTCATGGATTATCGACCCAAGATTGAAAGTAATCTCTTTTAGGTATTTTTATGTCATCAATCTTAAATTTTTACTCATTATTATTAAACTTGCTTTCCATATATTCTATCTTAGCCCTGCTAATTTGAGAACTTGTAGAATCTAGAGCCTCCCTCCAAGTTCGAACTTTTTGTTGATACTGCCTCTGGTCTCATCAATCAAAACTACGTCATCCACGAACAACATACACCACTATATGTCATCCTGTAGGTGCCTAGTTAACTCGTCCATAATCAAGATAAAGAGATGGGCTCAATACTGACCCTTGATGTAGGTCTATTGTCAATGAAACTCATGTGTCTCTCCACTTGTTATCCTCATACTAGTTAGCGCTCCCTCTTATATATTTCTAACCACGTCAATATATCCTTTAAAGACTCCTTTCTTTTCTAGCTCCGTCCAAATCAACTCTCTTGGTACCCTATGGTATGCTTTTTATAAATCAATAAAGATCATGTGGAGGTCTCTTTTTGTCTCCCTAAAGTTTTTAAGCCTATGTAGGAAAATATCTTCAATTATCGACTTCCCTAGCATAAAGCCAAACATATTTTCTGATACATTCGTGTCATGTCTTAGACGTTGCTCAATCACTGTCTCACATAACTTCATAGTGTGTTGTATAATTTTGGTCCTTTAATATTTGGTTCGGTTTTCTATGTCTCATTTGTTCTTGTAAATAAGTACCATATTATTTTTCTCTCTATTCTTCAGCCATTTTCTTTGTTCCATAAAATCTTGTTGTGGTCAGTTAGAATGTGCCAATCTCTCACATGCACTTCCAAACCTCTATCAGGATACCTTTTTTTGAAATGTGTTAGTTGAAAACTTTAAAACCTGTTTTTTGTCAATACGACAACTTTGACATGACCTTGTGGGGTTTACCGGTGAAAGACCCATGCACATATTGATTGTAACCAACATATTTATATTCTCACAAGGAGAATGATCCTATCCATATGCCAAAGCAAAGAATCACTAGTTAGGCTGATGAAAGGAAATATATTATGTATGACTGCAAACCTATTAGAATTCATAGTTACCGAGATCTTCTAAGGAGGGGCTTGTTTTCGCTGCAGATGCTTGATCTTGCGCTTTGAGATATGAGATCTCGATTCTAGGTGATTCCTTCATATTCAGGATTTCGATCAGGGAATTGGAGTTGTCGATCCCATGTTACTGGGATCCAGATCCCTACGCCAAATATTATGGTTCCATGAGTAAGTGTAACCACGATTCCTCCATCTTGGAATCAAGTATCCTTTACGTTGATAGTGAGTTTCATTGACACATTTTTTGATTCTTATATAATGGAGTGTGGATCTCCATTTTTTGTGACCTACAAACTTTCTAAATGCCATGGTTTCCTACGTATTTTATAGTTTAGAATTTTACACATCTTGTGAATCGTGATTTGTTCCTAGTTTCAAAGAAAGGCAACAAAAGAAGGTAAGAAGAGAGAAGAAAGAAGTTGAAAGGAGATACTATTGTTAGTTGTGTTGCGATTCTATTGAGGAATGACTCAATGAGGTTGCAGTCAACACGATTAGCGACCTTGGGGCTAGTTCATTGGGTTATGTCCACCTTTTGTAGGACTTCTATTGCTTGAGTGTTGGTCAACAAAATCGAGCCACTCATGGAGTTGCCTTAGGGTGATGGAATTACATGTATGCTTGGAAACATGAGGTCTCTCTCGTGTATATGTCATTAGACTCTAGCAATCTTTGATGGAGGTATCTACCCAAAAAAAAAATCTTTGATGGAGGTTAGCTATTGGGACTTATATATGGCAATATCTTTTCTTTTTTCTTATTTTGCAAAGGAGAGCATAGCTATCACGACATTTCTTTTTTGGAAACAATCTATCGCAATATTCTTAAATGTAATCATCAATCGATATTCAACTAGGAGTCATTCATTCCAACCGATTGGTGTCAAAAATGACTACGTGTGTGTACATAGGCAGACCAATGTAGGTAAGTGTGTAATTTTTGTAAGGGACCCACATTACTAATTCTCAAAAAAACGATTTTTGCATAAGTAATTGTTTTTATCACCCTCCATTCCAACCATTAACATATAAAAAAAATTGTTCTTATCAGGGTGTGTGATGAACATTTTCTCAATAGCTCAACGAACAAATTAAGATGAAAAAGATGTGTGTTATACAACATGTCAATGGTGCATTATCATCTAAATACAAAAAATCTTGCATGCTAGTCTCTCTTTGAGTGAAGTCAGAGGGGATGCAGAACGTCCCAAACTATCATTGTATGGTAACAACCTACCCATGATAAGAAAATGTCAAAGAGAATTTCAAGGACATGTTTCTTTACTTGAGTTTATGAGTTTGATAAAACTTAAGCATATTGTTCAATGGAATTCACTCCCAAATTACAATACAGTGGATAATTGAACTTCAGGAACCTTGATCTTAATCACGGCGGCGCGCGATCCCATTCAGTAAGGAATTCGCTCCTGTGCAGATATGAAATATGCTCCCTGAAAGTCAAGGATCTCGATCACTTTACCTGACCATGTACAAACCTTGTTCCCCCTACCACGGAACTTCGAGCTTACCTTGCTCTGCACCCCGTTCCCGGTCCCCGTGCTCTTGTCTCTCCCATTCCCAATATCTATGATATAGTGCTAGGTAGAATTGCTTCTGGTTCCACTTATAATTGTCAAATACATTTAGCAGTTTTGAATGACAAATCTAGACTAATCTACAAATCAGGCTAAAAAAAAACACACAAAAGAAAGAAAAATGTAAACTAATCTTGGTTGGGAAGTCTAGAGACAAAGTTAAGTTATAAAGAAGGCTGGATAGGACATAAGCAAGCTAAAGCTAAACAAATAAAATTGCAAACATTTCTACATGGAATAAATTTAAAAAAAATGTAAACAAAATCTGTTATTATGCAGTATGATTTGGTATAAATGTGTATCAATGTGTTGGATGCATTATTTTATCTTATGCAACGTATAATATATTGCGTTGACTTGAAATTGGGCTGATGGATAAGGCATACTGTAACGATTCTCATCATCATCAGAGCCTTTTCCCAATTAGAGAGGCTACAAATCCGCATATGTTTTTTGAATACTTCCAACCATGTCCTTTTGGGCTGCCCCTTACCCTTTTTTAGCCTTCTACTTTCATTTATAAACAATAAGTGAATGGCTTATTGGATGTATTGAAGAAGTTTCTCCCTCATCGTATCAGTGGTAGCATTTGGGGATACACAGAGACATGGACTATTCGAGTAAATACTTTCGTGAACATTATGGTCTGTCGACTCTAAACTAGATATGTTGCTCGTGAAGGTTTTAAAGTATGATTTATATGTTAGTGTTAGGGTTTGGATTTGTTATTCAGAACTCTGAAGGCATTGAAGGCACTTCCTTATTGTTAGAAGCTCACCATAATCTTACGGTTGTGTTGTTCTTAAGAGCAAAATTTTCCACAAATTGAGATTAACCGCTGTAGATCTTTTGTTGATTGAATGAATATCAAAATTTCTACCAACCAACATTTTGATTTCTTTACATGCACTTCTACTCTTCCTTCTCAAATGTAGAAAACTTTAGTACCGTCAAAGGTTCATCTCCATGCATTTTGTATGTTTTTTGATGCATGTCATTGTGGTTTATCGCACTTATTGAATTTTGTTTTGCTCTAATTGTATCAAGAGCAAGATGCTGTGATCAATTGCATAGTTAAGGGAGTTTATTAACTGTTTGACTATACAGGTTCTTTGTCATTCAAAATGAAATTTGTTTGCGGTGAGGTATTTATATGTATTCTGTGAACTTCTTTCGCGTATAACAGAGAAGTTCCTTACAAAAATTGGAAGTCGCAATGGAATTATTCCCATGACCAGAGAGAATTCGCTCTACAACGCAATTTGGGTTTCACAAGGCCTTTTGCGCAGAGGGTAAAATTGCTAGTATTAAGTTTGTAGCATGCTTAGCTTTTCAAGTCAAACTTTGTGCTCAAATTTGTCTTTCGCTTATTTTATGATTTTTCTTTCAGATCTTCCAAGAATGTTGATAAGCGAATACTTCTATTTACGAATGAAGATGATCCTTTTCGACATGTGGATGGGGCCACCAAATCTGATATGATAAGGACAACACTTCAACGGGCAAAAGTACTAGGATAAACCATATTATTGTTGCTTACGTTCATATGTTTTTCTTATCAAGCAACTATGATGTAGTTGATTTTACTTTGTATTAATATTCCCTTTTTTTGTAGGATGTGCAAGACCTAAGCATCTCAATTGAGCTTTTCCCCATGTGTAGGCCAGGGACAGAATTCAATACATATAAATTTTACGCCGTATGTTTGTTTTACATGCTTTAGCATTACTTTACTGGAAGCATTATTTTTATAATTTGGTTCATTTCATAGATTGGATGTGACTCACTGGTCAAAGTTTGGTTAGCTGTGAAAAATGTATGGCATTTTGTGCGTTGGATGAAAATTGTTTCTTTCAGTTTTCATCTAGCTTACCAAACAGCGGCTTTTTAGGAGTGGTGCCAATACCTAATTGGGTTCTAAAAGTGGCACCTAAAGGGGCTATTCAACCATGAATGGTCTTTCACGTTAAAATGCTGCCACAACAGCACCAATCCATGGTTTGGCATAGCACACAATCAAACCATACAAAGAAAAAGTAGGTTCATTAGCAGCAATCGGTCTGATATATTCTTAAATATATAGGAACTGCTGGGTTTGGAAGGTGAAGAGCTATCAGAATTCTTGCCATTGGCAGCAGAAAAGTATGCCCTTACTAACATCAGTACAGATTGGGAGTGTGAATTATGGTCTTGCTAGAGCATACTGTGGATTAGTTATAGGTAGAGTATCCACTGTGTAGTTGGTTGGTGGAGTTTGATGGATGGGCAGACTGTGCATATGGTCAGTTCCTCTTGGCAGTTAAAGTGTGCTGGCAGTCTTTTGCTCTCTGTTGTCAAATCTCTATAGTCCGACCATGATTGAATGGTGGATACTCTAACTGGAGCAGGCTGCAGCGTGCTCCAGCTGAAGCATGGAATCATTTTCCATATAATGATATATATGGAAAATGATTCCATGCTTTAGCATCTTAAATAGAATGATGCAATTTAATTATTTGGCTATTGTTTAATGCCATGCCATCCTTGTTTAGCAAATGGATACTTACGTCATTCACTACTATTCAATATGCATATGCTCTTTTTAAAATTCTTGATATGATTTTTGCTTAAGAATTAAATTATTTGATTAGATTTCATGCCTCACAGTTAATCTCCCTCAGTTTGTCTTCTCCCTTAGTCCTGCATTTTCAACTGCCTTCTTGTGGCCAAATTTGTAAAATCATTCCCTGTCCATTTCGACGAGGAAACGAGATGTTATTTTCAATTTGATTTTCTGTTCTGACAATTTTTTGACTTTAGAATTGAAGACATGGTGGATCAGTTGAAGAAAAGAATTTTTAAAAAGCGTGTAATCCGGAGGATGGCCTTCTTGATACACGATGACATGTGGATTGAATTGAATTCTTATGCTTTGATTCGTCCAACAAGTCCTGGTATACTGTAGTTAACTAGTTGTTTCTTTTGTAATAAAGCATGGCTTTTATGAATTCGTTGCTTAAATAAGTAATAATCTGCATCATGCTCTTTTGTAGGGGTAATTACTTGGCTTGATTCTGTAAGCAATACACAGTTAAAGGTATTCACTTTCGTAGAATCGTCCAATGCTACCAGCAATCACATGGTCTCTGTAACTATTAAATATTGTGCTTATTAGTGGTTCCTAGTTTTTTTGGTTCAAGTGGGAAACAAATGTCAAGTGATTGTTAACACAGTTCTTAAGCCGGATATCTGTTAGTTTACTCCAAGGTTCTTTATTATGGTATTATAAATCGCATGGAGTGTCATAATTGTTTTTTTCTATTTCTTTGTACAGTCAGAAAGGTCCTTTATATGTGCGGACACTGGGACTTTGCTTCAGGAACCAATGGAACGTTTTCATTTACATAAAAAGTGAGTATCTGTACATGTAGGTGCTTACAGATTATTGGGTGGGAAACCCGTCTGGTTTTTCTGCTTGGCAGTTGGGCATCACTTGACTTGAGGGCTAGTTTACTAGATGAATCTTCTTGTGCATTGGTCCTAATGTATCATGTTCTGACTTTTTGGTTGGGTTTTGTTGAGGCTTATGCTCTTGACATATTTCACTGGTTGTTTCCTTTCACTCTCAAGGTGAGGCATACTCAACATGGTAATAATAGTGGTCCATCTTACCAAGTTGAATTTGTTCTAAAGATACGGAAACCATGGGCTTTCTGGATGTGGCCAAAGCCTTCCTATATGGAAGTTTTACTACTAAGATTTACTCCAAACAAGTGTCCTAGGGCCCACATATGTGATATAATGTAGCCCAGACATTCTCTCTTTTATTGGCAGTTCTACTTCAATGCTCTTTCCCCTACTTTGAAGGACTAAAGATATGGAAACAGTGGGCTCTGGAGGTGGCCAAAGCCTTCCTATATGGAAATTTTACAAATAAGATTTACTCTAAAAAAGTGTCCTAGGGCCACATATGCGATATATCGCAGCCCAGGCATTCTCTCATTTATTTGTAGTTCTACGTCTATGCTCTTTCCCATACTTTGAAGGAGCTAGATTTCTCCCTTAATGTGTTTCTCTGCATATTCATTGACATACTCTTTCATTGAGCTAGATTATAAAAATGCTTCAGGATGCTGTTCATTCTATAATACTGCTCCTATAAAATTTAAATGAATGTAGGATTTTGTAGTTCTATTGAATGGCATATATGTCAAAATATAAGGTGCTGCTTGAGAGCTTGTAACTGCTGTAACCAAAGTCAAAGTAAAGTTTAAGATCGAGTTCTTGGTCTTATTAGTTTATTGACTACATTGTGATATGTGTTTTCACCTTGCTTCATCTTGTGTTAATCCTAGCATGTCAGGAAGATGTTACTCTTTGTTAACTTAGCATGGAATTAATGGGTTTTGGCTTGGATGTCGACATTTGTGTTTTTTCGATGTGAGATACTTATTTCTGGGATGGGTTTCTTTTCTTGTATGTGCTGAGTTGTTGTTTTGCCATATTGATGCTTAATTCTTTGCTTTGGCATACCCAAATTTCTTGTATGTGCTGAGTTGTTGTCTTGCCATATTGAAGCTTAATTCTTTGCTTTGGCATACACTACTATTTGGGTATCTACTCTGATTGTTTTATTTTAATTTGTTGAATTGCAGTGAGATTGTAAGGTTCTCCCTTGAGGAACTGTCTGAAGTAAAAAGAATTTCTTCAGTTCCACTGTTTCTTTTAGGATTCAAGCCTACGGACTGCTTGAAAGATTATCATAATTTGAAGCCCTCAACATTTCTCTATCCTAGTGATGAGGTTAGTATCCTTTCCTTGTGGTAATAATGACTATAGATTCCTGAATCTTAAGAATTGTGTAGCGCTTTGAAAGTTATATGCTATATATTCTTGTTTTTCTGTATGCCACATTGCGAAATTTGTTCTTTGATTTATTTAATGTTGTTAATTACCTGTCAGCAAACATCGTGTTTGACATTTCAAATCTTAACTATATCCTAATCCATTTTACTGTAAAAGTGGGGAAGTGATTGGATCTAGGCGCCCATCCTGCCTAAATCCTGCCTTTCTGATGTAGGGAAATTGAAAGAGAACAGAAAAACAGTAGTAGCTCAGGCTGAACACAAGCGATAATTAGAAGAAACCTAGGATTTCTTCGCTAACCCAGCTAGGATTTCAAAAGCCTGGGGCTTTTTCTTTCCTTATTTTTTTTTTTGGGAAATAGAATCACCTGAATTAGCCTCTAGCCCCCTCACACACCACTTTGTTTTTTTTTAATGTTCAAAAGATAACAATTGTCCATACAAATAATAAATTGACCCATATGTCCCAACTTAAGGACAAAAATCCATAATGACACTTGTGTAAATACGAACGACTAATTTTAGAATTTCTTCAGTTCCACTGTTTCTTTTAGGATTTCAAATTAAATATACATCTTTTGAAATTAAATAAAAATTTAAAATAAGAACATTTTTGTCCTACATCAAATTCCCTTGGTTAGAGAAAACTTTTCCTTGAGTTTTTAAGTGTGCTAAGATGATATCAACATCAAAACCACCTTCTTCTTCTTCTTTGTTCGCTCAAAGATTATTTGTCTTAAGAAGAAATCCTTATGAAATGGATCTTGATTTTTCTATTGAGGAATCGATACAACTTAACAATTACGGCTATCCTTTGAGCTCGTATTAAAAATTATGTGGAAGACTTCAAACTCAATTTTTTGCCCTTTAGGGACTTTTTTGACAGTCGATATCTATTTAGTTACTCTCTGAATCCAGGTTCACAATTGCATTTTATGAGTCCATTGCACTACTCTTTTATTCCAATGCCCTAAATCTCTTGAACGCTCGACCTCTTCAATATCGTTGAGATCTTCATCTTGAACCTTCTTGTAGTTTGGATCTCCTAAGAGATCTTGTTGTACATTTGAATATGTGTCGAAGATAGGCGGCTAAGCCCAATATATCTTGCTGATTTTGGAAAGGATTTGATGAAAATAAAGATTCTTCATGGTCAGGCTCCTCAATACCAAGAACAAAATTGTACTCACAAGCAGCAAGATGAACCCCCTGGTCATGAGTAGGGCTAGCAATGGGTTGGGCAGCTCAGCCCTAAAAAATTAAAAAAGTAGGGCCGAGCTAAAGCCAATGTCGGCCTGATGTGGCCTGACCAAACCCTCTCTCCCTTTTTTTTTTTTTTACTTTTACTTTTTCTTTATTTGTTTTCATCCCGGCCTGGCCTTATGGGCACAAGGGCCGGGCCAGCGCCAAGGTTGGCCCCTCCTAGGCGACCCTCAGTTGTGAGTCAAATTGGGCCTGTCAAAATCAGAAATGTTCACTTTTAAATTAAAACTCTAGAGTGATGCTTTCCTCATCTAGGTCTTCTATCACTCTCCTCTTCGCTAAACTCTACATACGGAGCACAATGGTGAAAAGGGCTGTCTTGACATCTTCTGGGGCGGATAGCTCACCGTCTTGCCCATGATTGATGCCTGCAAGTTGTTGTGTAAGCTGCTGAACCTGCCTCTTGAGATGATCCTCAATCTCTTCATCTCTAGCATCTCAAGGTTGGTCTATGAAAGACCATGACTCTTTCTTGCTGACATAAGTTTGCCGAAATCACAAACCTAGGCAAAAATTAGCAAACCATTGGCTGAATTTAGCAAACGCTGAAAGCAGTAAACCCTGGGCAAAAAGTAACAAATTCTTGGGTGAAATCAGAAAACTCTAGACTTAACCAAAGATTTCTCCCCTTGTTGCTCAAGAATCCCTGCTTTATTATGAAATTAATGTAGGAAAATTGAAAGAGAATGGAAAAACAACAGCAATTTAGGCCAAACACAAGCAATAATTAGAAGAAACCTTGTGTTTCTTCCTTCACCAAGCTAGGGTTTCAAAAGCTTGGGGTTTTTTCTTTCTTTTTCCTGAAATAGAATCACATGCATGAGCCTCTAGCTCCCCACACCACTTTCGTATTCTTCTTTAATGTTAAAAAAACAATAATGTCCACACAAATAAAAAATTGACCCATGTGTCGTAGCTTAAACATAAAAGTCCATAATGCCCCTTGTTTAAATAAGAATGACTAAATCAGTCCTAACTTAGAACTTACTTAAAATAAATGATCCAAACTATAAGTAAAATGCCTAGAAAGTCCCTAACGGGTCTAGCAAATAGAAGCAATTAAAAATAACTGATAATAACCTTACAATTGAAATTTAAATATACATCATTTGAAATTAATCAAAAATTTCAAATAAGAATAATTTTTCCTGCATCACTTTCCCTGATTTCCTATCTTTGGGCTTCTCTTGAAGATTTAATCTTTTGTCTTTCCCCCTCCTTTCGTTTATAAGTACCATGTAAGGAGGGAGCAAGATGTAAATCCTTTTTTCTTTTAAAGAAGTTGCTATAAAATATAAACGGTGAACTTGCTTTGTATTGCTGTGGTAAATTAGTGATTGTGTCACTATAATGGGTTCAAGCTCGTAGCTTAACTGAGATGGCACTTGATGTTGCAGCCTTGAAGTTGTGAGCTTAAAACCTGCTAATTTTCACTAAGTAAAAGATTTTCTAGTTTAATTTATATAATTAGTATGTTTAAAGCAATTAACTATTGAAGCGCTACTTATTGGAGCTCAACTTTTGTTCAACTTAGTTTTATGCTGGTAGCATGCTCCATTTGTTATTGTGATGGAAGATCAACACCTTGGTAGTATCTTCCTTTTTTTGAGACAAGTGGTAGTATCTTGCTTTAGCAATGCTAATCCTCAATTGAACATTTCTTTTGGTAACGTGTAATATGATTGTGATTAAATCTCATAAAACTTGATATTACCTAAAAACCTGAATGGGAAAATCTCAGAAGTGGAATATAAAATAGAATAATTTGCACCCACCATTTTTTTGGCTGGGCAAGTTGAAGCATAGAAGTTTGATAGATGTATACAGCTTAACTCGAAAATCCAGATGTAATCATACTAATTTAGGAAATCGGACCAGGTTAAATCAGATGCGTGACACATCCTGTCATATGCGTTTATTACAGTAATATATTTTCAAAATCATTTGAATCATAAATGTGGGTTTTCAGTTAGCGTCAAGCATCCTATTGGTTTTCTGCAGTGGCTTGCTGATTGGGGCATGACTCACTCCCAGTCATTGTGGTGCAGGAAATAGATGGAAGCACTTGCATTTTCGTTGCTCTTTATAGAGCTATGCTGAAATATCAAAGGTGAATAATTGCTTGATAGCCTTTTTTATTCATCAGTTTACTTGTTAGTCATGCTAGGATGTTATTTTTGGGGCTTGTCCATGGTGGCTAGTGTTAGAACTGTTTCTGATCTGTAGAACTAATGGGTAAGTAGTGATGCTACTATCCTTGATGATTGATGGAACTTTACAAGTTTACCCAATGATGCTACATAATGAATGGTTATGAATTATTTGTGGTTATAACAAATGTTCTGTAGCCTGTGTTTGTTAATTACCTTCAATATTGAGGTCCCAAACTATGTAAGGTGGTGAGTAACATTATCAAAGAACCGATTAATTGATGTGATACAATGAAGTATCAATATGAGATATTGGCATATAGTTATGGATGCATGTTGCTTTGCCAGTTATGCATTGGGTACGTATTGTTAGAGAGTTTTGAATACATGTTGCTTTGCCAGTCACACATGGGGTACATATACTTTGTTTGTCACCCTTGCATAAGATGCCTGTTCTCATGATAACATCCATTTGCATGGATCAATGGTTCATATAGTCTTTCTTGTGTAAAAATGCCTCTATTTCTGACATTATGAGTCTCTGTCAACATATCAGAATTATATTGATGGGATGTCTTGCTGGAATCATATTTTCTGTGTCATTTTACATGGGGAAGCCAAAACTAGTGTGGTTAGGCTATTTAGATCGTGTGATAAGAAATTTATGAAAGCAATGGTTATGCAGAAGTAATAGTTCGGAAATATAAACTGCTATAATAGTCTTGCTGCTAAGAAAGTTATGAGAGCAATGGTTACGAAGAAGGAAGATTTCAGTAACATAAACTGCTTTAATAGTTTTGATGATTAAATATAGATCCACTCACGTACACATGCATTTATAGGTGGATGCTACAGCAGAAAAGGTGTTGTGGCACATATAATGATAGATACTCGGTGGATCAACCATTAGAAAAGCTGGCTATGCAAAATGGTTAGGCTTAATATTTTCGGCCGAAGGCCAGAGGTTAAGTGATATAAAGAAACAGTGTCAGCAGTGAAACTAAGTCGAATAAAATGGCATAGGAGATGTGGTGATCACTCCATACCCCCTGAGTAAGGTATTGAAGGTGGTATAGTGTCTAGAGTGCTCCTTTTCCAACACTTTCACTTGTCACTTAAAATTTTTACAAACACTTCTCTCACGTACAGCTTTACTCACTGTCACAGCCACAAAAACAAATACATTGTACTCGTAGAATTAAACTACACCATTTAATACATATACTTGTACATGGACTGCATATACACTTCACTCTTTCACATAATCCGAATCCAAGCTTTACATAATCAATTCTTGATGATATAAAACACTAATGAACTCAAAGTTACAACAAATAACTGCAAAACAATAGTGGGAAATTGTACCCCGGTCACATAAGCAGACCTTTTAGGGATTTAGTTTTGTCCAATTGATGAAGGCATGGATGGCTCAAATCACAAGGGCTGATCCAAGGCTAAGAATTTACCTGATCCGGATCCGAAACCCAAATTTCGGATCTTATTTGGATCCGGGATCTAGGTACAGGTGGATCCGATTTGGATCGGACCCGATTTTTTTTAAATAGTATATTTTTATTTTATACATATACAAATAAATAATTTATAATTTACATATATATAATAATTTTAAATTTTGGAAGAGCTAATCCCCACTGTCTATTAATAAAAGATTAAGGGTGGGGATTGGATCCTCACTTCTCTCTAAACTCCCAAATTAGGGTTTGTAAAACCATTCATTTTCTCTCTCCTCTTCTGTGCCTCCATCACTTTGTCTCCTCAAACCAGCCATGGCGAGCTCCTTTCTCTTTCATCCTATCCACTTCAACATAGAAGCCACTCTCTGTGGCATCCCCTCTCAGAGCCTCCTCAAATGGCGTCCCATCTGTCCTGTCCTGCAAAACCCCTCTCTGTACCTTTCTTCTCTCAACTGGTAAAACCCACCACTCCAAACCCAAGAACCCACCTCTGATAATAATGGAGTCAAGTGTTGCTTCACCTCAAATTCTGGCCTCTTTTCCAGCCACTAGAAGTTGCAGGAAGAAGGATTTTGGATGGAAATTCGCTGGATTTTTCACTGTGAAAGCAGCTTCCAAGCTTTCTAAGCAAAGGCGGTCTCAAAATATAGAGGCAGAGTTCTACCTAGGTTAGTTTATTGTCCTTCGAAGTTTTGATAAATCAAGTGTAATCCGGTATAGTTCTTGGATTTTCATCTGGTTCCATGGATGGTTTTTTTGGAAGTTGCTGAGATTGCTTCTGTTGGGAAAGCTTTTGTAGATGTAGTTTTGGTCAAGTTGGTGGGATAGATGTGTTTCTCTTCTTGAAAAATCTAATGGATTGTGATAGAGAATTGAGTAGTTCCTAATTTTTGTATTGGATTTGTATGAATAGTTTTTTGGTGGAGAAGTTGCAGAAGCTGGTTTCTGGGAGAGATTTATAATGATATTTTATAAGTTCTAAGATATTATTGAAAGCGAACCTTTGCTTTGGTGTGATTCAAGATTTCATTTTTGCAAGTTTATCATGATTTCTATTTTATCTATTTTTGCAAGTTTGTTTTGTTTTTATCTTTTTGCAAGTTTTCATTTTTGCAAGTTTTGCAAATTTATTAGGATTTCTTCTGTTTTTTTCCTATTTTGTCTATTTTTGCAAGTTTGTTTGTTTTTATTTTTTAATTTTTATTTTATTTTATTTTATTTTATTTTTATATCTTTTTGCAAGTTTCATAGATGCTTAGACATTCTAAATTCTAATAAAATATCTTTAGTAATGCAATGAGGACTTTGGGGGTAATCGTGACTTTTTTTTTTCTTTTTTGAATCTTAACATTAATCCGGATCCGGATATTGTATATAATTTTGAATTCGGATTCAGATCCAAATATTCAGGATTCGATCGGATTCGGATTTGGATCCGATGTATACTATTCGGATCCGGATTTGGATTTGGGTGGATTCGGACCCAATCCAAATAATTCTCTCCCCTAGGCTGATCTCAAATATGGAAGCTTATATGAGTATATATGGCCATAAACTTTAAAATGAGTGAGAAACTTTAAAATGAGAGAGATGATATTTTAATGATCAAAACAGTGAGCAAAAGTACGCTATAATCAACTTGAACTATATGAGTGTATATGGCCATGAACTTGTGGAAATAAGTGTTGTTTCATGAGAGAAATACTCTAGGACCAAGGGCCAATGGAATGGTACTTGAATGGGCACCAAATGCTTACTGATATGCTCAAAATTCTCGGAGAAATCTCAAAGAATCGGGTAATGAAAATAAAAAAAAGATGATGTCTAGGTGCAAAGTATTAGACCAAATCTGCACGTGTGATGGTGTACATGCATAGTTTTACAAGGGACTTGGGATTTTTGAATACTCAAGCACATAAGCATGAAAAGATTTACTGTAAAATGAGATTTACAGTAAGAAGAAGATGAACAAATTACTCTAGAAATGAAAGGAATAGAGCTGTAGAAGTGACCTCTAGTTTAGAACACCAATTAGCCTAGATACCAAGGGAAGAAGTTTTAATGGCCATGTGACTTTAACTCATCAAAATGGAACAAGGAGGAAATAGGTGGGATGTGTAGCTTCTTACTCTCTCTCTTATCAATCACAAAATGGGGTCTCAAGGGTGCTGGATATGAGACTAAGGGGGATATTTATCGGCAATTTCTAGTGCGACATTTTAAGTGAATTGATCATGGCCCTTGATGTTCATCATCCATAGTACGTGAGAGAGTTTTGATCTTAGCCATTCATCTTATCTAGTCATCAAGATCAAATGATGATATTTCACACCCTTATCACTCATGAAAAACCCGAGATTGGGTCCTTTTACCAAATTAAATGCTATTTATCCATTTCAAAAGTGCCCATGGTGATCTTTTGAAATTAACAAAAGAATGAAATGTTAGGGGCATGCCTCTCATGTAATTTGCTAAATATCTTTCTTTCATCCAATAGGATGAAGCCATATCAAAAGATTTACATAGGCTTAATGTAATGAGGTGATGCCTCATGAAAAGCTATTTTAAAACTTTATTCTCTCATGGATTAGGGTTTAAGCCAAAATTTCATGGCATACTCAAAACCATAGCCACATGTGAATGAACCCGCATGTGTGCCAAAACATGTGACTAATGAAATCACTTAAATTATAAAAAGTTTTTATCTCATTCAAAACATTACAAACTATTTTGAACAAATACTCAAAAGACAAACTAGGACAACCCCCTTATTGTTTGACATCATGGTGATGTTGGGCATAGGTGGGTCCATGGGGTGCCATGTGGCAGCTCTATGGCCACTTGAGTGGCATGTGGGCCCCCACTAGATGTCCTCAAGTGGAATTTTGTTAAAACAAATTCAAAAAACCTCATTTTATGCTCTGAAAATATTTCAAAAAATTCTAAAAATTGTCAAAAATTCATTAATCATTGTCTATTATAAATACTCATTTTGCCATCAAAACAAAATGGAAAATTGGTAAATGAGATCCCTAGGCTTGAAATCTAGGTTACTGGCATATAGTTGTTGGAAACACCTGTGATTCCAATTTGCTTCAGGAATTGCAGAATCGCATGTGCCAGATGATTCCTAATCTTGGAATTGCCGGCTGTACAATGAAAATCACCGGAGGTGTGATTCCCAATAATCAGAATCGCGATCCAAAAAAAAGGAATTGTGATTCCAATTTGTAGGAATCAATATCCCATTATGTTGAAATCGAGTTTCCCACCTATCGGGAATTGCACATGACCCCACACCGATCAATGGCTTCTGGAATCGCGATCCAATGAAATAAGAATCATGATTCCTACATTATTGGAATTGTTGTCCCCATCAATTTGGATTTGAAATTTCCACAATTCAGGAATCACACACCAATCTCCTCTGGTATATGAGAGAAGTATTTTACGAGAAAATATTTACTATTTTACATCTTTTACAA